ACTATAGTGAGATTCCACCTCATCCCAGTAAGAATAACTATTATGAAGAATACAAAAAATAAATAAATGTTGTCAAGGATGCTAGTGCAAATGTAAATTAGCTACTATGGGAATCAGTCTCAAGATGCCTCAGAACATCAAAATTAGTGATATCATTTGATCCAGCTATACTACTGAGTATACACCTATGCAAGAAAAGCTAGCATTGCTACAGGGATACCTGCATACCCACATTTACTGTGGCACAATTCACAACATCCAACGTGTACAATCATCCGAGTTGCTTTTCAACAGATGAATGGATAAAGAAAATGTGGTTTGTGGTACACAATGGAGTATTAATCAAACATAAGAAAAATGGATGGATTTAGAGACCACTAAGTTAAGTGAAATGAGCCAGGTTCAGACAAACATATGTTCTCTCTTGTATGTAGAATCTAAAGAAGATGATTTCTAAAGTAGAAAGATTATTATTGAACACGAAGGAGTAAGAGAGAGGATGAAGTAAAACAGGTAATAGGGGAGGCAAATAGAATCAAAATATATTTCACACATTGAAAGCCTCTCCCAAAAATGTGAACCTGGGGGGAGAGTAGACAAAAAGGGAAGACAGCTAGGCTTACACGATCAAAGTATTTCATGTTCATGTACAAATCTGCCAAAATGAAACCCACTACCCACATAACGAAGAAAATGAGCATGAAAAAAAGAGGAAGGAGAAGTAGTGATGAAGACATGGAAAAGCCAGGTGTGGTGGTACATACCTATAACCCCAGCACTCAAGAGGCACAAGTTCGAGGCTGGTTTGAGCTACATAGTTAAGTTTAAAAATAGCCTGAACTACACAGGAAGACTCCATCTCAAAACAAAACAACCCCCAAAATAGATTCTCACTATGTAATTCAGGCTGGCCTTGAATTCATAATGATCCTCCTGCCTTTGTCTTCCGAGGGCTAGAATTACAGGCATGCGCCACTCTATCCAGTGTAAACTCATATGATGTTAGTGGGAATGTACATTAGTACAGCAGTAGTTATGGAAAACAGTAAGAAGGTTTCTCAAAAAATTATCATCTGATCAGCAATTTCACTTTTGGGAAGTGAAATCAGTATCTTGCAGACACATCTGTATTCCCATATTTTTTGCAATACTATTCACAATAGTCAATAAATGGCAGCAACTAAAGTATCCAGCCAATG